AGCTGTGTCAATTAATAAGTCACCTTTTCTTTTTCTCCTGGTGACCATTGTCACTGGACAGAAAGATATGGTTGATGCAACATTTCCCAGTTTTCACCAAGAGGTAAAGGGAAGTTTCACAGTAGGGACACCTGTTACAGTGACAAGTGTCTGATATTCCTGTTCACCTTTTGAGAGATTTCTGCTCACTTTCTGTTGTGGGTTCAGGACAGAAAGTGAATGGAAATATCCTGAATGGGTCAGATGCTGAAAAAAGAAACCTGGCAGAGGTTCTAACCTTTATCCTACTTTATTTAAAACAAAAAATAAAGTTTTGGCGACATATACAGAGCTATAGATACATTTGTTTGGGATACTAAAGTATATCCAAGCCAAAACATTGTTTTCCTGTCCCTTTTTTGCTTGTCTATGTTCAACCAAAGATGCATCAGGTAGAGAGAAGGAAAATCATCTCTAGATCAATTCTCACCCCATTAACTGACCCGATTGAAAGAGTGTATTCCCATCCAGGGACAACCCAAAACTCTATAAGGATGGCTACTCTTCCCTACTTTATTCAAAAACTAAAAAAAAGGAGGTTTTAGCTTTATATACACTTTGATATTTGTGTACTTTGAAAGCTATATTAAAGTGGAAGTTTCAGACAAACCACTAAATACACAGTAGTATACGGACAGACCGCATGTTTCACAAACACAAACATGTGAGAGGTTGTAACTGGTTGGGGGTGTGCAATGCTGGCATTTGTTGCTTTATACACTTTTTTCACTGTTATACTGGATTTGCCGTGAATTTTAATAAAGTCTGAAGTATTGGAATTCTCTGGATAGTGCGGTCTGTTTGTATACTACTACATTCCAAGGTAGAGACACACCTATTAGACTCGCACCTCGGGAGTCCTGATGGTGGCTAAGGAATTGGAGCGGTGAGATTTTTTTATTCTTTGTTGTGTGGACACTTTGAATATATTTATTTATTTTGCACATTATGTAGAATGACCACATGGTAATTTGTTATGAAAAGGTTTAGTGCATTTTTATGTGTATAAGCATTTGGTGACGTTGTACACTAAGAGCACAGTAGCTATAGTTAAATATATTTTTCACCATAGCGTGGATTATCTATTAGAATCTATAGGTTCTAATTCTTCCCCACTCTATTGAGAAATGAAAAATAAATTGGGCTGGATTGACACTGTAAAACTGCCTACAGACATTGACCGTCCGGTTGCTGAATGATGACTAATGAAAGCGCATGGCGCACACGCACAAACGTTTACATTGGTTTAGTCATTTGGTTGCCGTCCTGCTTTGAAGCTATTTTTCTTTATGACTCCATGTTTTCCAGAATGAAAAATACATTGTATAGCCTAATCCTTCCATCATTTCTGTGTAAAAGTGTAAAATATTTACATTACTGCTAATAATTGCCTGCCTAGCACATCCTAATAATAGCACATTAGCACATTGAATCTATCCACTTCACAGATTGCTGCCACTTAACTTAGCAGCTCTGTCCTAGTATTTAGTCATCATTTCAGTAACAAATGTGGAAAAGCTTCTGGGCTCGCCACCATGTGGATGAAGCACGCATTGGAAAGTAGTAGTCTGCCTAAATGGGGTCATTGCACCCCATGAGACAGAGCCCTCTGAATGGAAGGTTCATTAGTTAACTATTTCCTCAAGACAATTTTCATTAGAGACATGCTATTACAATGATGGAGTGTCATTTGTCAGCTTTTGGGCAGATGAGATATAATTTATGCATGCAGATAAGGGTAAAATGCTCAAAGTGAGCCTGACATGAACATATAATACTAAGCCCTAAGAGTAGATATCAAAACCTTCATGCACAATATCCTTTGGTCTGGGCCTTCCTAGGTGCACAAAAACTGTTTGTCACAAGCAAATTCCAGTGTTTGTAGGTGAGTTGTGTTATTCTATAGGTATAAGTTCTAGCCAGGATTACTTTGTCTGTTGATCGGTAATGTCAGAGTGTACTGATTCTAGTGCTGACAAGATGGACACACCATTAATGCTAATTTTCACTTGAATATTACAGACTTATCAATTTGTAAAATATTTTCACCGTCCCCCGCCTCAACCATATATTTTTTTAAAAGGGCAGGACCCATAGAACGAAAAGATGGTATCATTGATTTGGTATATTCCTTGGGAGTTGAGAAAATGTTTATTGATGCAATAATGCTTAAAACCTTGAGACTGTGTACTCCAGGTTCACAGCTAGGGTTGCCACCCACCCACTATAATACAGGATTGTCCCCGATTTCGGAGGAACAGACTGCGTCCTATATTGATTTTAATATCTCAAGAAGTTTATCCCGTATTTATTGGCGCCGCACAGCATCATGCATATCCATGGACCAGACAAGCATTGCATCATTTGTTGTTATGGTGCTGTCGGCCAGCCCACCACCACCATGGAAATACATGATGCTGAGAGAGGCATCTAGAGCCTCCCCCAGCATTCGGAAGAGGACAGAAGGAAGCCTCTTTCCAGACCTGCTCTGTCCCTCACTCTCTGCCATCACAACCATGCTGTAGTACAGATGTGTGATGTGGCACTGTAGTATGAATTCTAATGTTAAAGGAGGACAGTGATGCGAAGAGTAAGGACACTGATGTAAGGTGGGGCTCCTGATGTAAAGGGGGAACTTCCACTGCAGCGCCAAGGAGAGGGTACCATTATTATTCAATGCAGATGTCGGTGTCCTTCAGCCCATTATGCACAGTTCTGTGCGATGTATGTAGCATATCACTTTTGAGCCCCCTCCGTCCCTTTTTTTTTCTCTCCATAACAAAGTTGTCAATCCTATTGCCATTGGAGGAGGTGCAGACATGGCAAAAATACTATGTCCTTGGCAGTAAAAGGGTTAACTGCCTTTAGACTTATGTTCCTTCAAATGGTGGCCTTGCAGTGATATGCAAGCTGCAATAATCCAAGAGGCTAATTACATTTAAAATGTTGCTAATCTAAGTTAACCATGATCTGATTGGCTGCTAGGAGCTACTGCATGTTGCACATAATCATCATTGATTGTTCTACTGAATAATCCACACTATTTAGATATATAAATTGCAGATTTCTTTTTCTGAAATTACAGAACAGAAGATTTGAAAATGTATCTTGATATTGTATGCTGCCATTTAACCCATATCATATTACTGAGGGCCATTTGGCAGCCCTCCAGGGGAGTTTGTGCTCAAATGTGTTCTACTCCTACACCATTAGCATATGCAATTGACAGCATGAACAATAGTTATCTATATATACAGTATTTGTGTGTGTACACATACATATATATATATATATATAA